TTCTTCTTTTGCCCATCTAAGCATTGGTCTGATATTTTCTCGCTTTCTCCATTCTTTTACACCCCACATAATTAACCCTGGCGATATTTGTCTCGTGACACTCTCCACCTACGTCTTTGTGCTCTCTATCCTGGTACTGTATATAAGATAATGTTATCACGTTTTCTCAATATAGCGTCACTAACGGGTTTCTCAGTACACGATCGTTCGGAGATACTTTGAAGGTTCTCTGTATTACCTACAATAATCGGGGGTTGGAAAGTCATATTCGGTTGAGATTGTCAGTCATCTTATTCATAGTGAGATGGGGGACATATATTCTGTTCTGTAATGTTCCTCTGGTGGCGGTCTGAGGCTGCAATTGATGGCGATCCTCAACATTCTGTAGAGAATTTAGATTCGATTTTTTCTGCACCTTCTTTTAGAGTGTTGGTTTTTCAGTCCCCCTGTGGGACAGTGGTGAGTTTACGAACTTGGAATGCTCTAACAAAACAAACTTACCTGATCAAGTGTTGATCGAATCAACACAGTTTTTAAATGGCATATAAAAACAGAAAGGATGCCACTTTGGGGTAAGCTGCCTTTGATTTGTCTTCTTCAGTTGGTCCATCGAGTGTGATGCTTTGGGTCTTTTCCCAGTTGCTTTTGAGCCTGTACCTTACCGGATGGCTGATAGGTCTGGGGGTGAGTATTTAGTTTTCTCTCCATTTATGGAAATTGTGGTTCATGCAGGAAAGCATACTTCTCAGTTATGTGAAGAGACAGTTATTCCTTATCTGGCAGGGTTGTCGGAATTTAGTGATTTAGCCTACCATCGCTAGGTGGAAGCATTTTTAGACTCTCAAATAATATATCTGTTCTTCGAATTTCGGGGTTCTAAGGTAGAGTTTATAGTTCACCTGAACAGATCAATGTCCCCTGATGGGACAGGGTAAATTTTGTTTTCCCTTCACTTCACTTTGTTGGAAGCGCACCAACTTCATTGTTAGCATGCACATTGGTTCAATGATCGGCTTCTACATTCATCCCTCTTGGCGTTTTGTTAGCATCTCGAATTTCATCGGCTCCTATGGGGGGTTATAGTTCCACCCCTACTTGTGGGTCCATATCCAAGGGTTCCACTGCTCGGTTGGATCGCCACCAGCAGCTTTGATGATTATTGTATGCCTTCAGGGTGTGTGGGGGCTCAGCTCTGATAATTTATGGACGTGTGGTAACCTTAACCACGGATCCAGGAGCACTACAGGTCCTTCAGTCAGGATTAGTCATTCAGTTCACACCTTCATCACTATTATCCATCCAACCTGTAGGGTTTTCGTCTCTTGCAGATCCTTTGGAATTGAAACTTAGTTCTATCTGCACATTGACATAGTGGCGACGTCCCACCACTATCGGCAGTTTTTGTGTACAAGGGTTGGGTACTGCAGTTCCGGATTTTTACCTTCGGACTAGCATCAGCTTCACGTGTTCTGCCTAATTGTGTGAGTTTTTCTCGTCACCTACATTCCATCACACTGTGCACACACCATTCCACAGACGACTTGTTACTGCTGGCACCATCTCATCAATTGTCAGAACATCACATCTTGATTCTACTTTCAGAAACAACCAAGGAAGGCTTCATTCTCAGGGCTGGGACATCTATTCTAGTTCCAATTCAATATGTCATCAGTCTGGGAATTTTATTTTTTATCTCGTCTCTCAGTTGGACTCAGCTGACTCCCATCCAGCTCCACGCTATGGAACAGGAAGCCCGACTCTTACTCACCCCTCCTTCTCCAGTCCATGGATGGTTCTTTCTCTTCTGGGAATGTGGGCATCACTCGAATCCTACATGTCTTTGAGACGAGAGCACAAGAGCTCCTTTTAAAGTTTTTGATGCAACCAAAGGATCATAAACATTGATTCAGTGGATTCCCCAGTTTCCTTAGTTGGGATCATTCTTCAATCTTGAGAAGTTCTTAAATCGGGACACTACTAAGATATGGGTTCCTTTACCACCACCTTGTCCAGAGTTCCATTTCTTTACAAATGCCTTGCTTCAGGGATGGGGTGCGTGTACCAACAGTCAGGAATTCCAGGGCCTACACACGTAGGGCGAGGTTTCCCTACACAATGTTTTATTTTTTTCTTGCTCTTCAAAAGGCAATGCCCCATGGTCTGGGCTTGTTAAAGGGAGAATCTTCAGGTTTCACTCTGACAATCCATGGTGGTGTCTTGTGTTTCTCATTGTTTTTCATCTTTGTTTTCGAATCTTCAACTCCCTATCTCGGGAAAACTCCTATTATATTACCTTCCTAGCTTGCCATTTCTACAGGTGATGACTGTGGTAACAATCAATTGTCTGAACCCAAACAGATTATCCTAATAGAATAGATACTGCATTGCAAGGTTCTGTTGGATTGGCTCTTATTTTGCAACTCTGATTGGTGGGTTGGCCTCTCATTGGCTCACCCAACTACTGGCAAATGGGTCTCCAGTACCTCACCTTCTGGCTTTGACAATGAATGCATTCTGTCAGGACGGGATAGGATTACAATTCTTGGCCTTCCCTCCAATTCATATGTTACCCAGAGTACTAAATATTTGTTCCAACCCATTATCGGGTCCTGTTGATAGCACCAGATTGGCAGCTACACCCTGGTTTCTGCTTCTGCAGCACCTTCCAGAGTGTCTACCTCTTCAACTTCTTAGGCCATCTCTGTAGAGGCAGCCATGATCTGACATGGTACACCTGGCTATCTATAAGCTCAAGTTTCAGGCGTAGAGGTTATGCAGTCTTTCACATGGCATCAGGGTTTAATTTCTAACCCTGCCATGCATCTTTCTCATCTTAGCTTAGTCCCACGATGAACATTTATCAATGGAAATAACACGCATATCAGCAATGGTGTATTGAGAGACGCTTGAACCCAATTTGATCAGAAATGCCAACCATAACTTGTTTTTTGACCTGGCTCTTTGGTAACAATTTTTGCATCTTCCACAATTGCCCTGTATAAGGCGGCCTTATCGACTACCATTCGATGCTCGCGACAAAATATTATTTGAGTCTCCAACACTCCCCAGATTCCTCATGTCACTTTGGGTCCTTGGTCCCAAACGACCATTCGAGTTACCAAACTGGTATATTAAGTCTACATTACATGCCCTTTCTCAACACCTGTTTGTGACCTGATTTTCATATGCTATGTATCATCTTTACCTAAAAGTTTATTTTTGATGCTGCTGACCTACATACATCGCTGGTTGGAGTGGTTTGTGCAGTATGTCCACATACTGCTTTCTCATTCTATCTACATCCTCAGACTGGTTCTTCTTACCCAAGACACTGTCAGACAGGGAAGGCTATAAATCCTTTTCACTAAATCACTATTTCTCATTTCTATGTCTGATCAGATTTCAATCATTGTCATATTCAGTGAGGGTCTTGAAGGTTTTGTTGCCTGCACTAATGTCTTTAGAGATGCTAGACAACGACTTTTTATTCTGGGCTCTATGAAAGCGAGGAATATTTTGTGAGTCAAGTCTAGTCAGATTTGTCACATTTCTATGCTATTAGCAGTGCAGTTGAATTGCCTTGTGGAAGACATTGTGTGGGCCTCCCCAATACTTTTACCTCACATTATTTGCATGATCTGGCAATATCTTCATCTGAGAGTTTTCGCCTACCCAGTGTAGCTATCGTAACCACTTCTGCTAGATTATACAGAGGGGTGAGTACTTTCATTGCTACCATTCAGGGTCCTTTACAGGATTACACTCTGTGGCGAGTGTTACCCAGGCATGTGCGCTGTTATCAAACCAATTCTGCACTGGCAACCACTAATTCAATATACTTTATACAGGTTGCAACATGATCTGTAGAAATGAGGTGTTCCATAAGACCACCTAGAAGCTGACTGAGTAGTGTTACTGTACTATGATGGAATGCCACTGGACTACCATGAGTAAAGCATAAGGGGATCCTACCCGTCCCTGCTGATCATTGGATTGAATAAATTGGGGTCAGTTTGCTTTTAAAGTTTTTGTGTTCGCCTATTGCACTGTTTCCAGAGCAAGTTTCCTCAGGACTCCCCAACATGCATTACCCCCAGATTCTACAAGTGGAGCTAGGAAGTCCTTACCATACCCAAATTTCCAGTCACTGGGGTGGTGGACAGAGGCTTTTCCTTCAGAGTGTTAGACTGAATTCCTCCACTCTTGGAGAACAGGGCGAAGTTGGGGGCCCTCCTACCCAGATCCCTGGATGATTTTTCCCAGATGTCAGTAGGAGAGGCACCAGCCTAAGTGAGAAGCTATTCGTAATACTGGTTCAGATTTTATGCTCGGCTATCTGCTTGGGTTGGGTGTGGCCCTTCTTTTTGATCAATATTCGTTCAGTACTTTGTTCATGGAAGAGGGTCCATTGTCTCCTCGTAATTCCGAATGCAGAGTGGTCCCATCCTGGGTCCTTGGTTGAGCACAGTTTGCTTCACGTCCTTCCCATAATTCTGGAGCAAGTGGAGGAAGAGCGTTCATAATTCCAGACCAGATGAGTTCTGTTTCATCAGGTTGAGTAAGGCATACACAATCCCGTCATTCCGAGCCTGGGGTGTTGCCTTTTGAACTTCTTCAAGTTGAGAAGGTTTGTCCATTTCAGTGTTGGATACATACCTTGTCATCGTGATTCTGGTGGCTCAGAATACATCACTTTATAACTATAGGTTGAGATCCACTCATTCGTAAAAACATGGCCCTGTAATTCCAACTCTGAGTAGTAGAACCTCGGCTATCTGGTTGGGGCCTGGCCAATATTGTGGCAAATCATATATAATTCCAACCACAGAACATGAATTAAGTTCTGGGTGAAGAGCATATCTGTTCTGGATGTAGTGTGGTTCCCCCAATAGGGTGCCAATCTTCTATTGACACGCCCATGGTTTATGTAGACGCTTTCTGTATGGATACTGCCTTCACCAGCCCTTGAACCTCCTCAAAGTGAGATTCTAGCCATAAGTATGAGAGGAGGTAAGTATGTTTTGGAAGTTAACAATTTCTTAAATCCAAAATGTATTTCCAATAATACTTACTCTGCTGACACTCTCCCGCCCTTCTTCACACTAAGAGCCAGTGTAGGAGACTGGGATTGAGTCAGACTCGAATGAGGTGCTTATATATAATAACAGAAGAGAGGGCGCATTGACGTGGTTGGAGAGAGTAACGAGAAAAAATGCTTAGTAAATGTGAGAGGAGGCAAGTATTATTAGAAATACATTTTCGATTTAAGAAAATGTTAACTTCCTTTACATTAGAGATGTTACCTATATAAGTTTATTATAGTTTCCAGTACCTTAGAGTTTCATTTAAATTCGTTTATTATAGTTTCTTTACCTTAGAATTGTCACCTAGCTCACTTTCTTATAGTTTATTTACCTTATAATTGTCACCTAAACATGTTTATTATAGTTTCCTGTACTTTACAGTTGTTCCCTAAATAAGTTTATTACAGATACCTGCACCTTAAAGTTGTCATCTAAATCAGTTTCCTGTACCTTATTGGAGTTGTCACCCTTCTGCCCTTTGTGTTTTGAGAAAGCCTGAAGTCCTGTATTTATATATTGTTACGTATCTGTAGTTTGATTTGCCACTTCTTGTTTCCATCTACTTTTTTTCTTTTCCGTCCCACTCTCTGACACCAATTTGTTAGGTATCTGCTTGTTTGTTAATTTCGGTAGAAATTCCTTCCGAGGAACTTAAGCGATACAAGTCCCTTCTTGATTAAAACTAGTTTATTTTTTCTCGATACAACTTTGTAATACACAGTAATTTCACAATCATACGTTTCTCGTCTCTTTACTTAACAACTTTTATAATACATGCTATAAATCACAGCGATTCACAAGCTCTATAACTTTGCTCTATGGAACGACTGCAAAACACACACAATTTACGGCTCAACGTTACTACTGTTTGGTTGACTCAATAATCTATATCTTCAATCCTGCTGGTTTTTCTTGCCAGGCTTATATACTAAAAAGAGGGCGTCTCGAATGCACTCGGGCCTTCATGATCATTCGAGAAATTCCAACGTGCATGCTCCCAGAATCACGCGACTTCCGCTTTCGTAACACTGCCCCTTCCTTACTATTGTTTGACCTAAACAATAGCCACTTACATTAAACCTGGCCCGCCATGGCCAGGTGGTTAAGGCACTCGACTCGAAATCTGAGGGTCGCGGGTTCGAATCCCCGTCACACCAAACATGCTCGCCCTTTCAGCCATGGGGGCATTATAAAGTGACGGTCAATCCCACTATTCATTGGTAAAAGAGTTGGTGGTAGGTGGTGATGACTAGCTGCCTTCCCTCTAGTCTTTCACTGATAAGTTAGGGATGGCTAGCCCTCGTGTAGCTTTGCGTGAAATTTAAAACAAACCAAATCATGTGATGATGTCATCATGCACCAGTCCAATTCATATGAAATTATGTGGGAGTTACCTCAAGGCATGCAAATCCCTCTAGCAGATGCACAAGGAAGACAGCTAGCTAAACTGTGTGTAGAAGTGAATACCTATCAGAAATACTTTTTCAGGGAAAGATAATGTTATTTTCTATTGGTTTCAAAAGAAATTCTTACTTTGTACGCATGTTCTTGGGTTACTTTTGGTGACAAACTGTTTAAACTTGCTTACTACCTCCGGGGTGTGACTATGGTAGTAGCTGGTCATAGAGTAACTTGTTTTTTGTTTTGCTGGAATTATGCATTTCTTTGCTTTACTGATTTGGTTCAACATTACACATGTATCCTTCTTCAAAATGCCAAGAATTCATGATTTTATTGTCAAAGAATAGGAGAACTTTGCCTTGGAATGTCCTGCATGTAATTGTCACAGAAATGCCTGTTCTAGGCATTTAAATGTGCAAACTACACTTAAACTGAATTGCAACAAGAGAGTGGGTCAAAGCTTTTAATCAGTTTAGTAATAAAAAAAAATGCAGATGGCCAGGGGTAAATTAATTAGATAACCCCATTATTTGCCTATATGCATACATTTAAAAAAATTAAATGAAAAATATTATATTTTGTTTTGGAACATACTGGTGAAAAAGAAGGGTAAGGGAGGGGTTAAATCGATTATTGTTATTGCAAAACATTAAATTTGTATAGTAAAGTATGTTTTTATTTCCATAACTGTGATATCAAATGATTGATAATTGTGAAAAAATAACTGATTACTTGTAAATTAATCTAAGAATTTATAAATATAATAGTTGACAAATTTCATTTTTCCACAGGAGTTGTTTTTCCAACTTTGTGGGGTTACATCCATGAACGGTTCAATGCACCATCATACATGCTTGGAATCATCATTTCAGCTTTCAGTTTCTCAGGGCTTTTTTCTAACCCATTTATTGGTTTATGGGCAGATTACAGCCAGAATACTAAGTTTATTTTGCTTGTGACAAACATAGGTGAAATTGTTGGAAGTTTTATGTATTTCTTGGGTATTTCAAGCTGGTTTCTTGTATTCAGCCGACTCATTGCGGGTATGTATAGCCACTGTTTGAAATGTCAGCTTGATAATGTATAAGTATATATAATTGTACAAAGCCTAATTAACTGAAGCTCTTTGTTTTTGAATGTGAATTTGTTTACTCTTGGAAGTTTTTCAAATCTCGTGATTTTTTTATAAGTTTAGATTTATTATTTCATTCAAAAATTAAATAATTCCAAAAAAAGTAGGAATAAGTAATGTTTTCTTCTTTTTAGAAAAAAATTTTTTATTTATATTTGAACATTTCTTAGCTCATTGTATTAAATGAGTAAAAAACTATTTATTAAAATTTTTATTGTAAAATATTTACCAAGAAGTTTTAAATTGATCTTGTACTCTAGCTTTTCTACATAATAATTCAGAGACCTCATTTAATACATTGTGGAATGAAGTCCTTCTGTACACTAATTGGGTGTGAAAATAAAATGAAACAATTTTTTTTAATTCAAATTTTGAAAAAGATATCTTAAGAGAGTATTTTATTGTTGAGAATATCTCCATATCAAAATTCACCATTGTAAAATTTTTTTGCCAGTGAAATACATTGCTTACTGTTCTGTTGTGATACAGTTTGTTTTTGGGGTTATTGTGAAATTTCATTAAACTGTTATTGTTTGGTGTTATTCTGTCTTAAGTCATGCATATAATGTAACTTGAAAATACATAAAAGCAGAAAATTAGTCAAGCTCATAATAACCCTTTGTTAAATAGAGAATTTTAATTCAGATATATGGAATTATTGTCCTGATAAGTAAAATAAAATACTAATTTACTTGATCTGTATGTAATTATGCAGAGTTGGTGATGAAATATTTGAGATTTTGAACAGAAATATTGAGATAAGCATTTTATTTCAGGTATTGGATCTGGTGCTGGAGCAGCAGTTTTTGCAGACATTACTCGATCAACATCTGAAGAAGAGCGAACTCCCATCATTTCGTCAGTTGTCCTGTGTCGTCAGATTGGTCTTCTGTTTGGTCCTGCTATGAACTTCTTCTTAAGAAAGTTTGACTTCTATATTGGTTCTTTTCCATTAGACAAATATACATCTCCTGGGGTAGGTCTTATCTAGCTATCAGTATTGAGCTTCCATCTGTTTATTTGTTATTGCATATCAGAATTATTAATTTATACTACTACAAAAATTATACCCTTTTTTTTTCATGGTACAATAAATGAATTTCAATAGACATTACAGCTAAATAAGTGAATTTTATATTTACACTACTATTTACAGCTATACAACCCTTAACTTTCCATTACATACACCTACATTGTAACATCTTGTTAATTACTGCTCCTACCCAAGTAATAGCCAAATGTTCGAATAAAATTCAGAAGCAGTAGCTTGTCTTAGTTGCGAGTAAGTAAAAAAACCTTATGTTTCATCCTGTTAACAAAAATATTTTATTGTGACTTTTATTTTGTTAATTTTCATTTATGGACAAATATGTAGACATTTCCATAGTATTGTGTTTTCAAAAGGGATCGATATCTGTATAGTTATTTAGTAGCTAACAGTTTTGTCTGCAAAACTTTGGCTCCTCAGTGGCACACTAGAAAGTCTGAAGGCTTGTATTGGTAAAAACTGGTTTTCAGTACCTTGGTGGACACAGTACTTGTAGTCCATTGTGTAGCTTTGTACTTAACTACGTACAAATAAACAAAAATTTGTTTAATCTTGTTTTGCTCTGTCCACTGGTTTTTAGTGTGTAGGCTATGGTTTATTAAATAAATTACAGCACATTCTGTTAATTTTGAGATAAGCAACATTAAAGTGTCTATGTGTGGAACAGACTTTTATGGTAGGACTTATGGGATACATTAAAAATATATGCGGTTATATTTACAGACATGGTTTTCAATATTCTTTTGCCTTTTAAAATTTATTGCACGTAACTATTGTTGCCATTTTTCAGAGGTGCTTTGACTCCAAACAAAATCAAAATGTGTTTAAAATGTTACTAGCTCAAGCTAGATAGGACCAAAATTAAAAACTATATATTACTTATAATACTAGTTAATAGGTATTAATTTTCTTGCATAAATGAAATTTTAGTTATAAATGTGAAAAAATATCATCAACTAAATCCAACCATACTTTTTGTAGTTGTCAAAATTTCTAGTATAGGTAAAAACAAGTTTGTTTAGAGTAGAATCAAATTTCTTTCATAAGTCACAGAGTTTGATATAATAAAAGATTAAATGTAAAAAGTTGATCATGGATTTTTGAAAATAAAACTGATACGAATAGTAAAATACTTCCTATACAAATTTTAGACTGGTTTGTAGATGGTTATAAAGTTAAGTTTTTTAAAGGAAAAGGGACATATGCAGATTTTATGGGCCTGTAAAGATGACTGATGAGAATAATGTTATTAAGCTATCTCTTGATGAGAGAGAGGCACACTGACTTTCCAGAATGTAATTTTACTGAGCTAAATTTACAGTAGATTGTTATGGAAAATGTGTAGTTATAGTTTTCTATTATTCCCATATTGTTAAAGCTATCAGTGGATTTTCTTTTTTGTAATTATAGCTCAATTAACATTATAACATTATACTAACATAATGTGATGGTCCAAGTACATTTAGCATTTGGAACGTTTTTCCTATATCCATTCAAATTCACCCCTGTTGAGGAAATTTTATCCACTGGCACTTTTTCATAAAAAATGTTGAGAAAAAGGTGAAACATAACATTTTTAGGCCTCAAAATCCTAACCCAGCATCATTGATATATGAACTTTGAGTGCCTTAGTGCTTCTTCTTGAAACAGTATGCAGCTTTGAAATTAAAAAAGTGCTCAAAATCACCCCATTGCACAGTATCTAAAACAATATTAATGAATAGTTCTTGCTTTTATACATGATTCTACCTATTTTTCAATACATTTTGTCCCAACAGTTTAGTGTGTGTCTCAAACATGTATTTGTATTTCTTTTTATGTTCTAGGATAAACATTGTCTTTTAACCCTGTAAATCAAAAATATTTGATTGTAGTTTTATCTTACTGACGTTAAGGAAGTTAGAGATTTTTCTGACTATTTACTAGTAAGATACATGGTGTATAAAACATTTTACACATCAGTAATGCTACTTATTACCAACTGTATTTTTAGAACCAAGAGATTATTAAAGTTGTTATTATTACTGGCAAATATTTGAATCATACTTCCCAACAGGCATCTCCCAGTTTGAACATATAACTGGTGAGTGTTCACATGGGAAGAAAATTAAATGCAAAATGAAATTAGTGTTGGTTAAATATTTTGCCATCTACTTTTCTTATTTTGCATACACTTTATCCTAAAAGTTTGTAATATGTGTTGCAATATTGTTGTAGTTAGGGCGCTCGACTCGCATCACACCAAACATGCTCGCCCTTTCAGCCACGGGGGCGTTATAATGTGACGGTCAATCCCACTATTCGTTGGTAAAAGAGTAGCCCAAGAGATGGTGGTGGGTGGTGATGACTAGCTGCCTTCCCTATAGTCTTACACTGCTAAATTAGGGACGGCTAGCGCAGATAGCCCTCATGTAGCTTTGCGCGAAATTCAAAACAAACAAGCAATATTGTTGAATAATAGACTCCATATAGCTTGTTTATTTGTAATAAATAAGTTTTAGTTGTAGTTTTCAAACTTTCTTTTTTTACAAGAATTATGAAAAATGAGCTATTATTTTTGTTCATTGTTTTTCATCATTAATCATCATATTTTCTAGAATTCAGTGGTACTTCAAAAACTTGTATCTGTCCACATGTATTGCAGAATTTCTTAACTTATGTGGTATTTAAAATGGATATAAGATAGTAAATTTGCATTCAGATTATTTCAATTTGAAAGCTGTAATTGTATAGAAAAAATATTTATTTTGTGTGGAAGTGGCTACATCATTATTAATAGAAATTGGTATATATTGTCAAATTTGAATTTGTCCTTTTAATTTCCTAGAAATTTTGTTAGAGTGGTACAGTTTATCACAAAAAATACAATTACTACAACCTTTTTTTTTAGATATGGGCTAAGGCTAGGAAGTAAGCTTTACTTTCACAAACAATACAAAAAGCTACCAAATTTTCAACAGAATGTTCCACCAGAGACAAATAAAATTTATATGGTTCTAAGTTTTTGTTATTTTTTAATAACTGTACTGGTACCATGTATGCTTAAAATTCTGCAGTTGTTTTACATATTATTATGGGCTGTTTGTACTTTCACCAGACTTCCATACTTAAAAAAGTAATGTGCTAGATGAAATTTGGTGTTTCTATTTACCACTTAAAATACTTATAAAGGTATTAAATAAATGGAATATTTGGTACTAGCAGTATATTATTTTCTGAAGTTGTATCTACGTTATAAATAGTAGAACTATGTACAGGGGCATAGCCAGCATAGTTTCAGCTTAAACACCTTTCAAAATATGGTACATGCTTTTTTATTCTTAGTTGATATTTGATTTATAGGCTTCCATTTAAAGGTGCCAAATAGACATTTAATGTATAATTTTCTTGTACTTTTTGTAGTTATATCTTAAATTTCATTGTCAAATGAGAAGTTGTCTATAGACACTACATCTGTTATGTCATATTAACAAAATGGGCTTTGGTTCTGAATAAAAGCAAGTGAAATGCTCCCACTTTTGGGTATTTATTGAATATAAGTAAGTTTATTATAGGCCTACATATTATTTATCTGAAAAGGATATGTTACTCTAAGTTCAACTATGCAGTGTGATCTTAAAAGGCAATACAGTCATTAAGCAGTTATGAGTTAGTTTTTTAAGATGTTTTTATTGTATGTGTTTATTAGGTGTACATACAACTGGAGTAAATGAATTTTTGTTCATTACGCATTGCTTGAAGCTTCTAGGCCTTATTATAATTTACTTCTAGCTTCATACAGAAAAAAAATTATACTGTGTGTCATTCATTTCAGTTGAGAGTGAACAGTTTTGAATAAATGGTATTCTAAAGCAGTTGGTATAGTTTTAATGTCAGTATACAGAGCTGATTTGTTTGGGCATATAGTTATTTAATGTAACTTTGAAAAATGTTCATATAAAATTTTGTTGTTTTTTCTTGTTATAAACATTTTTATAGTTGCTAATATGAAATATAATAACCTAATTCAAACTGTTTGATCTTATCCTCTTAAGAGAAGAAAACACCTCCCTTACCAAATAACATATAATAGGCTAACATTGACAGAAATTGTGAAATCCAAAGCGATTACCCATAATTCAGTTTCCTTTTCAAGGAACATTTGCCTACATTTAAAGATATAAAAAATATTAAAATCATTGTTGTTTCTGTGCTGAAAATGCATCCACTTTTTCAAACTTATTTGAAAAGAACTCCTTGATATTTCACTTAGTGTGTTAAATCTGAAAAACAGGAGCTCTTTATTATGAGATAATTGTTCATCTTTGAAAAATAGAAACATGTATTTAACTGTGATTATATTTGACAAATGTTTTGATTATATTGTGTGGTCTGATCAAATAAATGTATGAAAGAATTGTTTATTATATTTATTTGTAGTTTCTTTTAAAGAATTCTATGTGTAGGGTTGCTGACACATCATCCGATAAATTGAATAAAAATGAGTCAGTTTTTTGTGTTTAAGATTTATTAAGATGTTAAATAATTGTTGAAACTATAAATTGTTATGTAACTGCTGTACTACACCATAATTAATAAACCTATTAATGAAGGATATATTTTTCCAACTTAAGTTTTTGCAATGGGTTGATATAGATCAAATGAAAACTTGCATCAAGTATACATAAAAGCATATGAATATTACAACAGAGTAAAGAGAGTATATTGTTCATAAACAATGTTAATGCTTTTACGAGTAATTTTATGAAATTTACTTGCCTTTCTTTTTTTCTTCAGCTCTTCATGTCTTTCCTGTGGTTAGTGATGGAATTCATTTTCTTAATAATGTATCATAATCTCACAACTCTCAACCATGAAGAAGATATTGAGGAACAACTGTGCTACAACCAGAAAACTGAGGGCAGTGATTGTTACTCAGTCTCTGCCAAACATAGAATTATAAGATCAGTGAGCCTGTCATCATCTCCTCCACTGGCACCTTTTCTTGACACTTTGTATTCTGGCTATGATGATATTGTTGGGTTCAGTGACAAGGTAAATGAAGCTGAAGGAATCACAGAAGAACAGAATGTAAATGAAATTTGTAAAAATCCAGAACCATCAAGTTCCTGGACAGGTACGTGAATGTTCATCATTTAGTTTTTGTTTATTACTGTTATTTTTGATGATGTGGTCATCACAGTACCATAAATACAAATAATTCTAAATGTGTATGCAGGTAGATTTATTGTTTTTATGAGATTATTTGTTACTGTTACTTATGAACAATAATTTAACAAAGTAAAGATTGATATTACTGGGTAAAACATTTCTAGAGACAGCATTGTTACAAGCTACAATCTACTAAAATTAATTTGTCTTCCTTTTCCACTTGAGAGAATAAACAAGGGTTACAGCAAAGCTAAGCATGTATGATGCGTGAGTACAAATCAATTTTGTAACTAGAAATCTTTGTTTTCTATATATTTTTTATTTATTGTGTTATTTTTTAATAAAAATAATCAAAACATAAGCATTTATGAAT